GTTTTTTTAGTTCTTTGAACACTAATGAACTGAATTCCTTTAGTGGCCTTCCAAGCACAAAGCATAGGAAGCAAAGCCATACTCTTCCTGCCCTACCCCATCAAGTACCCTAAAAGGAAAGGAATATGGAAAAGATCACAAATCAGGATGAAAAAAGGTAAGAGAATTGCCCATCCAGAAATAAGCCTCTCACATAATTGCTTTCTCTTCTCTGGCTTCCTATTTTTCACTTCTCTCTTCTTTGGCTTAATTTTAATATTCTGCCAATTATCTAAAAGACGACACAGAAAGGAAAACTACCTCCACAGACTGATCCATGGCTGTAGAATTCAAAAGAATGTCATGTGTTATGTTCCACTAGTAATCTGGAGTATCTGTTTGTGATTATAAAATGCTTTGCACAAAGTCTGTTTCCACTGCAGGTAAACCAAGCAAATTCAAACATATTTCTACAAACACATTTCCCTGCTTGTGTACCAACAACACACCAAATAATTTAATGAGCACCACTGAAAACTGAGCATGTGCTTCACTTCTGTGGCACTTTTTCTCTCACTTTTTCTTCCAGTTTGGAAAACTCACAGTTGACAACTCTCAGATGTTAATATGGCCTCAGGTTCTTCACCTTACACCTGTACACCTATGTTTTAGAAAAAAATAATAAATTTGATGGGAATTAGCTTGTTTATAAATCCTATCTTAGCAACACACCCTTTTTCATTTCTGTTAATGATGAAGAACCTAAATATTTCTATAAAAGACTGATTTCTAGTGGTTTCTAGCAGCAAAACATTGTGGTCATCAGGAACTAAAAAATGCTGCTGTCATGCAATGAAAGGAAAGAAAAAAAAAAGCAGATCCATTAGCACAACCCTTCAGTGTTTGGCTGCATCAGGAAGATCAAAGCAGGCAGAGGACATTATTTCAGAGACAGAAGAAGCCACACAAGTACAGTCCTGTCTAGCACAATTCTGAGGCTTTCACAGTGATTGCTTTCCCCAGCATTACCAGAAATCATCACCTGCAGAAAAAGCACAGTGCTGCATGGCAGAGGAGCATGGTGTCCCTGATGCAGGACTGGTGGCACCTGAGGTGCTGGCATCAATGGGCCCAGTGGTGCCAGGCTGCACCACGAGGTCCTGCACCTCTCCTTGCTTCTGTGCACCTCTCCAGCAGCCCCAGTGCCACCATTCCCACCTGTAAGAAGGAAAGGCTGAGCCATCTCAATCTGCCCAGTTGAGCCATCTCAACCTGCCCAGTAAGACCTCTACTGGAAACAAAATAAAATAATCAAGTTATTTGACCCTTAGAGCATATATTTTTTTTTACAAAAGTAGCAAGAAAACACACTGGGTAACATCTAGACCAGTGTGCCAGTTATTATAGCAGACTATACAAGAGACACAAAGTAAATTCTTCTTCCTTTATCTAAAAACATGACCTAACATAAACTAGAGCACAAGGAAATAACTACTGCTTGATATTGCATTTTATGCTTTGCAGATCATCCTGTAAGTCAGAGGGCTTATTTTTTAATCTATTATTCTTCATCTGGCTTATGCATATCTTATTTTAAATAATGTAAATAGAAGTTGTGGGGAGAGCAGGCAAGGTAAACTGTAAGCAATGAAGCATGCCCAGATACCCTATCTGAGAGCCCCACATGAACAGCTCTCTCTTTAGCTAACATCACTTCAAAAGATTATCACCTCCTATACATTTTCACAGTTATCTGGACCCCTTCCAAATGCCCACTTCAGTCACCAGCTAACCACGGAGTTGTTGGAGGCATTTATGACTTTGGTTTGTCCAGTTTCATTTATGAACAGATTTTCTGTTTTAGCTGCGACTGAGTGCCAGGAAATATTTACACTACATGCATTAACTTCTAATAAATACCATTTTCTACTTTTGTTAAAAGACAACGAATATTTCCAGAATGGCTTGCATTTAGAGTGATTATACTGATTTTTCAAGAGCTGAAAATAAATTTTCATGATAATGACAACCTGCTTCCCTGACCCAAGTTATGCTGGGCACCACTCCCAGCTACCAGAAGAGGGGAGCTTGGCAAGGCCTTCTCTCCATCAGGCAGCTTGCCATCATGTTTAACAGACAGCAAGATTAAATTCCCAGTTATTCCAGGACTCGGTGTGTTTGGTGAAACTGGGCACCAGCACATCCAACAGCTACTCTGAGGGAGGTTGGATTTCACTGCTGATGAGCACTAGAGAGTTTCCAGCCATTCCTGTTCGCCTGGTTCCTTGTTCCCAGTGCTGTACCAGCCCTTTTTAAAGTTGCACACCTTTATTTAGTACTTCTCACAGATTACCACAATAGTACCGAACAACACAGACTACTCCAATCGGTATTTTTCCAGCTAACACTGTTTTGAACCATAAATTTTGGCAAAATACATATTGCCAAATCTCAGTCATTAGCTCCCAGCAGCCTTGCTCCCAGTTTGTGACAGCTACACAGCAAAGGTCCCTTTCTGCTCATGCCTGCCCAAAGCAGCAGAACAGCTGCCAGGGCTAAATAATGACTGGCTCCATGGGCTGGCATGGGATCAGCTGCTCCAAATGGCACCAGGGCTCCTGATGGAGGCTGTCAGGAGATGTTCTCCTGCATCCTCCAAGTTTCTGGAAATGAGAGAGAACTGCCAAAGCCACCCAGGAGCACCAGGGACACAACACAGTAGCGCTGGACCAAGTGGCAGCTTCATCCAGAGTCCCCAGTGACAGTCCAACAGCTCTCTACCGAGCCATTAAGTGGCTGGCAAATCAGCACAGTTGTAAATATTTAATACCAGATGCTCTGCTCAGAGCAGACCAGCACTTGCTCATTGTTGTCTCAGTTTCCTTCCCTAGGCACTCTGCACAGAGGGGACAGATGCCCTCCCAGCCCCATCAGTGTTGGCTCCTGTGTCCCCCACCTGCACACCTTCCTCAGGGGGGTCTGTGGCTGGCAGAAACCCTGGCAAGGTAACAGTCTGAGAAGGGACAAAGCCTTAGAGATGGCAAAAGGTGAGTAAAGTATACACAGGAGGATCAGGAGTGCTTTTTCCAACACCGAGGGAAGAGCCTGGACATCCCACCCATTTCCTAGATTGGGTAACCAAGTACCTGCTGAATTATGCAGCCACAAGGATCCATCAGCACAGATTACCTTAATTCACTAAACACAAAATTGCAGCAACCCAGAAGGAGGTTAAGTTGTGGATTTGGAGCCCTGCAGACAGAGGTAATTGGCAAACATAACATCTCCTGCTGCCCAGTTTTAACCCAGAGCCTCCATACATCTGCCAGTCAGGGCACCCTTAATCTAGCTGCTGGTTCAATCAAGGGCACAGAAGATAATGAGAAGTAGCAGTCCTTACAGCAGGCAGCTTAAGGACAAGAATGGAATGAAAAGGCTTTGAAGGCACACCCTGTTCACCAGAAGCATTTTACAAGCTCCTTCTACTTTCCAATTGCTTCCTCTTGAAGAGGCCTGGAAGTTGTGCATCCTCTGTTCCACTGCTCACACCACTTGGAAAGTTATAATTTCAGATTAAATGCAATTTATATCAAATAATAAAAAAAGTGCTAGGACAGTTTCTATAGTGTTTAAAGCAACTTGAACATTTGACCTATATATTTTATTACAATAATTTTGAGAGGATTTAAATAGCTGCTTTCTATTCTGTACACAGGCTGTCTTCAGCTTTAATATAGCTCCATGAACAACAAATTTTTCCTGATATGATATTATGAAGGCAAGGATACTTCCAGCTGAGGGAATTACTTCTGTTCTAGGTCACAGAAAAAAAAATCAATAAATCTTGTAAATCAACAAGATGTGTAACTCAACAGCAGTGTGTTGGGTAGTAAGGTTTCCTCAGAACACCAATGTAATGTGATTATGCTGCATGGTCTGAGTCAGATCTCTTACTGGCTTTTCCACCCTGCCATGGTCTCTCTGTGAAATCTGTATGAAATCAGAGTAAAGTATACACAGGAGGTAATTTCAAAAGTACTAAGTTTCTTTCAGTTTCATGGCAACTCAATTTCAGTGAAAGTGACTACACAGTGCCCTCACTGTGGGAAGGACTGTAGTACTCATCTTTTGTAAGACGCTGAGAAAACCCACGTAGAAGAAAGGCTCCATAAATAAGGTGAAAATGTTATTGTAGTGGGCCTTCTGTGATGCAGCAGAGAATCCAACAAGTCAAAAATGTACAGAAAAATGTGTTTGTACGTTGCTGCCCTCAGAACTACAGCAGAACAATGAAGTTAGGTTAGATTTATTTGCAGAATTAAAGGAGCAAACACAAACTTTGAACAAGCCACTGAGACAGATGCTTTCTTGAATGCCACACTCTTTAGCTGATCTGCCTGAGTTTCTATGTGCCATTGAGCTGTTTTTACTCACCTGATCTTCTGAAGGAATGACAATATTGATGGTGCCCCAATGAGCCTGGTGCACAGCCAATCTGCACCCACCTCTGCAGTCTTCTCTTAATGCCACTCAAACACCAGAATAATGGAATTAATCTCTTGGAATTGGATATCTTTGCTGGAGAAAGAGGAGAAATGTGTGGTCTGCCAGGTGTGGATTAATTTGTGTGGTGCTATCAAATGGTTTGCGTCCCTATAATCCAAAGGGAATCTCCAGAATAATAAACTTGGATAAAGTACCTTCTCTCCTGCATTAGGGAACCAATTTCTCACTTTCATCAACTAAATCATGTGCTGCCTAGAGACAAAACCTGGTCTGAACTAGCCTGTAGTATAGCAACAGTCATTACCCTCCTACGATAGGCATTCACTGGGGTAATTCTCACACAAAAACCTCACATTTTTCTTTTTTTTTTATCTGACCAAGGCCAAATTTATGTAGATTGTATCCCATCAGGTTATGTATTACTTTCTGTAATGGCATATTTTCCCTACTTGGTTGTGTGAGTCAGCACAGGCAGGACACAGAACCACAAACCCACAAAGATTTATTTCCCTTACCTCACCAACCAGGGGATCCCCAAAGCAGCACCCAGGCAGAGGCACACAGGTGGGACACAGGCACCACAGGGCTTAGTCCATGCTAGAGGATGACCAAACCTGCTGTCCTTGCCTGTTTATCAGGGGTTCACACAGGTATTTGACCACTGTGCTTTGATCTTTCCTGAAGCAGAGCAGGAATCTCAAGCATGTGAGATAGGGTGCCTCTAAGTCTCTCACAGGCTTATGTTATCTAAACACAGATGTTCTACTTGTCAAACACACAAGGCTAAACAACAATTAGTATGATGTATGTGTTTTTCTACACCCCAGCTGCAAGTCACTTCAGCGTGTTTATAATCCTCCTCACCAGTCTTCTGCTATTATCCCACGTTGGTTGTTCATATCACAATAAAAACATTGTGCCAGCAGGAGCTAGGGAGGGGAGGGAGGGACTTGAACAGTTTGCAAATGTGAAGGGAACAAACTGAATCCCACATTCCAGTATCTTCTCAGACTTACAGGCTGCTAAAAAGTGGAATTGAAGACTACCAGGTAAAACTTAAGATTAATATCCGGTGTTCCCAATTAGGCCCTATTTGATGGAATTCTACTTTTGAGGCAGTCTCTCAGGACATTAGGCTCTTAAGAAATGCAGATGAAGATGTGCAGCCAGTTGTCTTACCAGTTTATCTTGTTGGTGTGTTCATTGAAAAGTTGTTAAATATTCGCTGCCTTGTGTCCTAAGGGCCACCTCTCTATGTTCATGGGCATTTAGGAAACCCAAACATTGGGAGGTGAGGAGAGCCCAGTAAAGCAGCCTGTAGGCAGCACTCCTGCAAGGTGTAGGCTAAGAGACGGTGGGAGAGGCCCCCACCCCGTGGGCACAAACCCCAGCTCGGTGTTGGGTGCTGAGGGCAGAGACACCCGTCACCGTGAGCGCACACCACCAGAGCCTGGAGCAGTGGGACTGCTGGAGCCGTGCCACGGCTGCCTGCTGCCCTTCCACGGCTGAGAGGAGGAGCTGCAGTGGCTGAGGACAGAGCTGAGCTCATTGTGGGAGCTGGCTGTGACGTGGGACACCGACCAAGAGCCCGGAGGTCAGTGTCAGTCTCTGGAGCTCTGCTGGAGCAGAATGCAGAGAGGGCACCTGGAGCTGGGATTAAGGGAAGCAGGCGTGCCAAGAGGCATGTCAAAGGTTTGGCAGGTCACGTTGGAGAAGGTGGGAGTAGGAAACTCTTCTCTGGATCCAGAGTTTAGCAAAAAGGTTTTGGCTGTCTGTACCAGCTGAAGAGCCAACAAGGCTGGAGGCCCCTGTGCTGTCACGCTGGCACATGGACTGGCACAGAAGCAGGAGCTGATGCTCCTGATGGCATTTTCCCAGACAGATGAATGTTGGGAAGTCTGTGGTCTACAGACTAGGGCATAAAGCACAATCAAGCTAAGATTCCCTTCATATTTATTATTCTCGGCAGGCCTTCCAAAAGACATAGCAGTATCACAGCTTGATGCTAGCAAGATGTTTGAAGGAGGATGAGGAAATACCTGTTGAAAGAGTACTGCTGAGGCACTCTACAAGAATTAATAGATGACATGAGATCTGGTTTATCCAAAGAAGGAAAAGTCCAACAAACAAGAACAACAACCAGAATGACTTGAGAAAGGCATTTCAGTTTATTGTCAAGACACTTTCTTCTCTCTTTTCTCAGCAATAATTTCTAGATAATTTCTAACATGGACTTTCAGTTCAAGGAAGTCACAATTTCCCAGGCCCTGGTAATCATTTGAGGGAGCAAGTTTGTGGCACAGAAAGGAATTTTTTAGATTCTTAGTTCCCAAAATCCAACATGGCTCCACATGAGATTGTCACATCATGCAAGAAATTCATCCCATGAATTTGATGACTAATTTGTTGTAGTCAGTCCTGGACTTCAAAACTGCACTTCAAAAAAAATCTTTTATGTTACACACCTTGTTTGCCTTGGGTTGTGCTTAACAGTCTAAAACCGGAGTAGTGCTTGTGGTTTTTTTTTAATTCAGAAATAACCTATCAACTACTTTCCATGTTTCCACATGCCACAATCTTAAATTCTGACAAATTTTGCAAGAAAATGCATGAGTAAATGGAAAAATCAGGTTCAATGTTCTGTGTTGGAATAAATAAAGGGCTGTCTCTTGAATACTACATTGAGGTACATACACTTTTTCCCCTGCATATCACATCACAACAGACCTTTCTGTGGATTTTGAGTTTGGTTGATCTTTGCCCTGAAAGATGTAAGTGTGCTGTGTATGGGAACATGCCAGCCTCATTTGGGATCACCAGTGGTTTGATACTGTCTATCCATGGCTGGCAAATGGACTCAAGCTACCTTAGACTCAAACCTGGACTTCAGTGCAACTCTGCATGACCTCTGCTCACAGCCACGTGCTCCCTGTGCACCCATTTTCCCTTGGATCTCCTTTCTGAAATGTACTTTTGTTTTGCATCAGGGCTCTATAAAAACGTAAATACATTAAAATCATTATCATTCCTCAGTCTGTGTCTGCTGTACTGACTACACAAACCTGGCCTTTGCTTTTTAAGTCCTTTGGACTACACTGCAGCTCCCAGTTGGCACAGCAATTTGCAAATCACCATTTCCAGGCAGCACATTACAACACCCTGATTAAGGCCAAAAGGATGGGACCACCTCTTACTAAGGACCATCTCTTACTTCTCAGCTGGTGACGCTGCACTGGGCACTGAATTCTTGTGTCCTTGTAATGCTCTTTTCCTGTTTTAAACTGAACTAGAAATCAGGGGTTTCCCTCAAATTTAACTCCCAAAGGCAGGAATTTATGTTCCATTTTCTGCAACCCAGTGTGAAGAGACTGCTGGAAATAGCCTACAGTAGTTCTTCTGGAAAAAATACATTGAATAGATACTTAACTTTTAAAAAAGAAAACATTAGTGTGCTACCAAGATGCACATGAACAACATTCCACTTCAGATAGCTCATTTAGTTTCTTGTATTTCTTGTTTCCAGGATATAATCTTGTGGTGCTTTAGAACTTTTTGGTTTTCTGGAGATTTTTGTTTTGTTTTGGGCTTGTTTTTGATTTCATAATTTAAATATTTTTTTCCTCACAAATTAGTTTTTACCATCTAAACACACAACTTAAATTTTTACTTTTTTTTTTCCTAGAGGTAGTGAAAATGCAGAAACTTCTGCTACCTTATGTGTCCTGACAAATTTTCTTTTTTTCCTTCAGTAGCTAACAATTCTGGTTTTATACTGAAGGTTGATGCACAAATAGAGCAGTGTACTACAGACAGAAGCAACTCAGCTACACTGGGACTGGACTTTCTTCTCTATATACTTCTCCATATGCTTATACACATGCATTTGGATTCACTATTAACAGACAATTTCCTACAAAAAATCAATGACATTTTCCATTAGCATCGTTGGGGAAGCATTGATTGGCCCTTAAAAGGTTGGCTGCACATTATGTGAAAGAACCCACCTGCAAAGAGCTGAATTTGCAACATAAAATGTACTCAACGTTCTGCTAGGGAAGCACTCTCAAGGCTTTTACCCAGTTTTTCAGGATAATATATGACACAGCACATCTTTATCAAACATATCTATATTTTACTCTGTTGAGTGTTTATTAATTCACACCAGTATAGCCACAGTCACAATCCAGCACTTAGTTGCAAGATTTTAATGCTGTACTCTGATTTAAGTTGATAACACCCCTTTAGAACCAAGAAAATTATCAATTTTGCCCAAAGATTTTTCTAGTCTTAACCATGTAACAAATAACTTCCAAAAGTTATTCAGCAAATTAAGTGTAAGGGGGAAACTCAGAAAGCTACCAAGGGCATTATAAAGCTACTGTGCTCCCTTTTGTGAGTACTGAAGTTATTTTAAATAAAACAGATAAAATGATTCCTCATTGCCACTGTAAGTTATGTAACATTTCTTTGTTTTACCACAGAACTCCCTTTTAATTCTCTCCTAGAAAAGCAAACAATGCATCGTTTTGAATCACTCAAACGTACTGTGGCAACGGCTTTGTTTCAACAGTGGCTGCTGCTATAAATGACTTTTCCAGCACTTTGTGGTATCCAAAGAATATCTAACAAGATCAATTTGCTTGCAGTAGTATTAACACATTCATCCCTGCGTGAGTGGCCTCTCTTTGCTTCAGGAAATGACTGAAGGTTTAGCAAGTTACCCCAATGCAAGTGTCTGGAGACCTGCACCCAGTACATCGGAAGCACTGGATGCAGAGTTGTTGGTAGAAATTAGACAAGATCAGTCTGAGCTTTGATCTTCCTAATCCCCTTTATTCTTTCCAGACTTCAGGCACGGTGGTTCTATAGAAGCCTCCCAAGAGCTGTGCTTGAGCCACCTACCCACTGCTGCCTGAGGTCTCCTCCAGCAGTCCTCACTCCAGCCTATTACTGCTTCTCTAAGCCAAATTTTGCTCATTTTCCTCTTCTAAATTGTTTGGGGTTTTGGGTTTTTTCCCCCTCATGTTTGACTGACTTCAGCCTTCTACACCCTTTGATTTAGGATGAAACACACAGGCTACAACTTTTCTTCCTCCTTGCTGTGGCTATTCCATTGCTCCTTTGCCTTCTTCTCTCTTCTGTACTTGCTGTAACTTCTTTATCATCTACAATCTGCACTAGCCTGCCCACCCCATACCTTAATCTGTGCATTCATTGTACTTCTCAGTAATCTCCTTGCTTCACCTTTTCTGCCAGTGCCTTCTTTCAGGCTGAGCCTTATGCAGAACCAGTGTCCCAGTCCTGGTTTCTCAAAATCCTGTCTTCATCACTTCTTATCCAAATCTTTTAACTGATATCCAGTAGCCTTCCAAACCTCCTCTCACCAAGCTATTGCGCCTTGCATAACCCCCATCATTTCAATTAAGGTAATAAGTTCTCCTTTCCAGTGTACAAACAGCAGTGAAGGCTGGTGAATGCCCCAGGGCCTTGTGAATGTATTAACAGAGGGCTGGAGGGCTCTGATTCACAGGGCTATTGGGGCTGCCAGCACCTGACAGCAGAACTTTGGGCATAAAGGAACACAACATGAAATGAGTTCATATAGGGCAGAATT